ACTGTTTCTCCAGGGGAGGCCGACACAGAAGGTGGCTGAGTCATGGTGAACTGGGCCGAGGCACCTGCAGGGGAAAGGAAAGGGATAAAATGCAACTGAGAGGCAGTCAGAGGGAAATGCATTGACTCAACTGGGAGAAAAAGAAGGAAAAAAGGGGGCAAGGAGAAAGAAATAATTCCAGAAATGTAGAAAGGAAGAGAAGAAGAAGCTTGATCTTTGCCAGTCAACGGGATGCTTTACCAATGAAGTAGGTGAGGAGGAAGAGGAGGAAGAGAAACGGTTGGACCATGGCGGAGAAATGGGCAAGAACTGTTCTTCTGAAACCAAGGTTCCTTCTAGGTGGACCCCTTCTCCTCACGCTTAAGTTGAGCTGCCAGAAATAGAGCCTGCAAAGGCATGCAAATGCCCTTCCTGTGTCTTGCTTTTAAAGCCTCTAGATCTATTTCCAGAACAAAGCCAAGAGGTGATTGGCAGGAGATTTCATTGGTGAAGGAGGAAGGGGAAGGGTAGAGACACCCATTCCACCTCTCTTCCCAAAGCATCCAGAATGGATCTGCCTTTAGGATGCCCAGATTTCAGCATGTTGGAACCTAAGCAAAAGATCTGATGGACAGGTAGACCATTGGAAAGAGGTTGTCCCTGCAGCAAGCTGCCCCCCCCATGCCGTGAAAGCTTTAGAAGGACCACTAGAACCTTAAATGGCACCAGAAGCATATTGGGAGCAAGGGCATCTCAGAAAACAAAAGGTGTAACCTAGACGAACAGACACCCTTTCAACTATTTTCAGCTTATGGATAGTTTTCAAGGACAACCCCATTGACTGCCAATGTCATGGTTCCGACAGATGAAACTCTTCAAAGAACTTCGAGGCATTGTTTACCTTAAAGAATCTTTATTCAAAAAGCATAACATCGACACTAACATAATCGGCCAAAAACTGAATTCTCCCCCCCCCCTTGAGCACATAGTATCAAAGCACAATTCCCTCCTCCAATTAAGAATCATAAATCACATTCCCTAATTAGTTTAAAGCGCGGGCTTTCCCTCCAGCTCTCCAGCCCGCCAATTCTTATCATTTCCTATTTCAACAACCTTGATTCTCACGCTAGGTTCAGTATTACTATGTCTTAGCAGGGTCTCCTGCTTGAGCAGGGGGTTGGACTAGAAGACCTCCAGGCTCCCTTCCAGCTCTATTCTAATTGAGACTGAGGCTTGCAAGATTCTGTCATTTTAGCCTTGCAATAAAGAAGATTTAGTTCATCTTGTCTGGTTTATCTGATCCTCGCTTCATTTTTTTCCCCCATAGCTGGTTCGACTCACTTTCTATATCAAGACACTAATTTATTTATTTTTTTAAATTAATTTGGTTTTTTTAAACTGGAAATTGCTCTGNGGAGGAGGAGGAGGAGGAGAAAGAGATGGACAAGAAGACAAAGAAGGGGAAATAATAAGAAGTACATAGGTAAGGCTTCTCCTTGTATTTTCCCAATCATGACCGTGTGAAGTAGATTGGGCTAAGAGGGAGTGACTGGTCCACTTAGCTGGACCAGACCAAAAAGATATCCCAGTTTCTAATCCAGCACCTTCGCCATAATGCCACACTGGTTCTCCAACACTGCTTTGGAAAACTGAGGAAAAAATTCCTGGCTAAAACCATGACACAAACAACTCCGTTTTTTTTTTAATGTGCCCCTACAACTTCAACCCTTCCCACGCTCACCGAAGCAAGAAAGTAAGACAGCGAGGACTCCATAGCAAGCCAACGCCATAGTGATGAACTGAGATCAGAGCAGCTTAGCCAAGTTCTCCCATTCTTCTCATTTAAAGTCTTGTGAGGGCCAGAAAAAAGATGCCCTCTATGCAAATCTCCACTTCCTTCCTGGTGGGGAATGTTTGTGGGTCAAAGAATTTTGCTCAAAAGCTTTACAATTTTTTTTATGGCTTTTGGCTTTTGAAGCCAGCAACAATGAAAGAAATAGTTTTAGAAATGGATCTTCTGAGTATAGGTCTACTCTGATGGACCCTGAATTGTCTTTCTCACAAGAAGGCCCTCTTCTCATTTCATGCCTGCTTTAAAAGGGACAACCCTGTCCTCAGGGTCACCCGAGTAGTGCAAATGTGTGTGTGTGGAGCCTTCTTAAATGACCAGCTCTCTGCAAGGAATATAAATCCTTCTCTTCTCCACCATTGGAGCTGAAGATTTCCAAATGCAATCGGAATGCATTTAACTGTTTTGTTTTCAGTTGACCCCTTAGAGATACATCTGCTGTTTTTTGCTCTTCCCTGTCCTTGTTAGCAAATCTTGGTTTCAATTTCTTGGTACACCTGCCTGCATTCTAATGGAACAAGTTCTTGGCAAGTACATTTAACAAATAAATGTAAACAATAAAAAGAGATAATATCAGGTATTCATCCCTTTTGTCACTAGCTAGAGTTTGAGGACGTTGTGAACTTTCTTTTATTATTATACAGATCTCTGGAGGAATATTTGGGAATCCCAAAGAGTTTTTTTTAAAAAATTGTACGCAAACAACTGAAAAGTCATCTCTGATTTCCCTAATTAGCATTTAATAACCTCCCCATTGGCCCAACGGCAGGATAAAAACACCTTCCCCTTGAGGTCCGTTTGCCATGGAAATGATATATTCCTGAGGTTTTTTTTATGCTACTAAAAAATGTAGCTAGTGTTTTTTCTCTAATCAAAGAAGTTAGTTTATCCATCTCAGCAAGATCTGTCCCCCACTATTCCTCTACGGTTTCCATCTCTGTGCATATAAAAATCTCATGTACTGTATTGAAAAAAATCTTCCACGGCTTTTTTCTAACATTATCAGTCCTAAAAGGAAAAGTTCTGGCTTCAGTTGACTATTGACACCAATCCTGTTGAGGTCCTCCATGCTGCTAATATAACGGGCAGCCCAAGGTCCACTTAGAGTGTTATATGTTGTATTTTATATCTTATATGTTATAGTTCCATGGTATTCAGCAGATACCACCCACCCCAGCAGGAAGAGGATAGTAGATTCATTTCTGCCAGTTGATGTAGATCTTCTCAAAGCTTAGGAACCTAGTTCTGGATCTAGCAAGGATCCTCTGAAGAGCCAGAATCTGGTTTTTGATCTTAGAGCTCCTCCTAATGGCAAAGCTTTTGAATCACTATCTTGGCTTGAGTTGAGTTGAGGCTCTTCAGCTTGAATGGATCAAA